GGAAGAATGGTCAAAAATTCCTATAAACACACTCCTCAACCTTGTGGACAGCCTTCCCAGAAGAGTTGAAGCTGTAATAGCTGCAAAAGGTGGACCGACATCATATTGAACCCTATGGGTTAGGAATGGGATGGCACTTAAGTTCATATGTGAGTCAAGGCAGGTGACCGAATACTTTTGGTAATATAGTGTATGTGATGCTCTGAGATGGACTAGAGTAACCTGAATGAGACCTCTTAAAAGTAAAGTTTTGGCTCCTGAGTGGCACAACAGAAAAGAGTTTGCCCCATTGACTCCAGATTGAAGGTTAGAATCCTGAAGATGCCACAGCTGTCTGTGGCTGGGAGTTCAAGACAATAAAATTGGTTGTGTTCTCTGGGTAGGAGTGGTAGCATTACTCTCTTCCCTATCATTCAGAGTGACATTAGCTAATCCCTGGATGTGATAGGGAAGAGTGGGAGTGGGAAATAGCAAATTACCAAATTAACAGAAAATTGGGTCTAAAAAAAATAAAGGGGTTTCTGTGGTCTATCTTGGGTAGTGGTAGCTCAGTGGTTAAGATGTTGGACTTCTGTTCGGAAAGTCATGAGTTCACATCCCAGCACTGCTAAGCTGCCACTGCTGGGCCCTTGAGCAAGGCCCTTAACCCTCAATTGCTCATTTGTATGAATGAGATAAATGTAACTTGCTCTGGATAAGGGTGTCTGCCAAATGCTATCAGTGTCTAATTGTTTGCAGACATTTCTGCACTCACAAATGTATTTATAGGACAGTTTCGTATACATTATATTTTCACAAAAGATATTTTACTGTCACACACAACTCCATGTCTCTACCTATGCCCTTCTCTCTGTTTCATTAACTGTCTTTGTGCTACACTGTCACATCACAGCTGACTTTGTTTCTAACCCCATTCTCATCAGCATCACAAACTACAAAACGTCACGTGACTCCGTCATATGTTCAAGTTCAACAAATTTCTAATTACAGACCTGTTCATAATCACACTCACCCTTAAACCCAGACTTTCAAACAGTCATTGTGAAGTCTCACTTCTAGCATTCCAAGCACTCTGATTCATTTGATTCATTTCAAACCCTCTTACACTCACCGTCTACTTTAATAGGAACACCTGTACACCTGCACATCCATGCAGTTATCTAATCAGCCAATCAAGTGGCAGCAGCACAATGTGCAAAAAAATTATGCAGATAAAGGTCAAAAACTTCATGTTCACATCAAACATCAGAATGAAGAAAAAGTGTGATCTCGGTGACTGAGGCGTGGATGTTGGTGCCAGATGGGCTGGTTTGAGTATTTCATAAGCTGCTGATCTCCTGGGATTTTCACACACAACAGTCTCTAGAGTTTACACAGAATGGTGCAAAAAACACAGGCTCACTGAAACTGGACAGTTGAAGACTAGAAAAAAATCACCTCTTTTTCTCATGGCTCATGATAGCCTCAGATTCTTGTTCTTGGCTGACAGGAGTGGAACCTGATGTGGTCTTCTGCTGTTGTAGCTCATGCACCTCAGCGTTCAATGTTTTGTGTATGCTGAGATGCTTTTCTGCTCACCACGGTTGTAAAGAGTGATTGAGTTACTATAACCTTCCTGGGACCTCAAACCAATCTGGTCATTTTCCTCTGACCTCTCTGATCAACAAGGCGTTTCCACCCACAGAACTGTCTTTCACGCAATGTTTTTTGTTTTTCGCACCTTTCTGTGTAAACTCTATTAAGACTATTATGTATTATGTTGCGATGCTGATATGAATACGATGCAATTTATTTAAAAAAACAAAACAAAACAAAAAAAAAACACTTTTAGCTTTATGCTGTAATAGGAGAGGTCCAGTAGTGCAGTGGGTAGCTTTGGCTCCTCACAGCTCCAGGGTACAATCTTGAGCTTGGGTGATTTGACTATGCTAAAGTGTGTGTGGGGGGAGGCCTGTGACAAAGCCTCTGATATGTCCTATCAACACGAGTGGTGTTAGGGGGGGTCAGAAAAAATATAATATGAGATTTATAAAAGATGAATAGCCAGGCCACCTACCTGTATGTTTTTGGACAGAAAACTGAAGAAACCAAAGAAAACCCACATGAACTCTTAGAAGAAAATAACCCAAGCTCTGGATCGAACTCAGGAACCTGGTGCTGTGAGGTAACAGTGCGACCCAATGCACCACTGTGAATCCCCTATTACAGCATAATAGTTAATCATTTGACATGAGCATTTTATAGTAGATTAAACTTGTCTTGGTTCAACTGAATTGACTAATCTTTCAATTTAAAGGTGAAATACAGTAACGTTCCACAGTAAAATTAATCAATTTTTTCAGCATAGTGTAGCTCACGGCAAACTGATGTGATTGGATTTAATCCTCTACCAATTTGAATCGTCCATTTTATAATGAATTAAAATAGAGTCTTGGCTATTGGCAGATCTTGTGATTTTGAATGGGAAAAACTACAAAATTCTACAGTAATTTTATTCTGAGCATAGAGTAGTTCACTATGAATTAAACTGCATGAATACTCATAAATAATTAAACTCAAATACTGTGAACACTCGCTTTCCGCATTCAGTGCTATTACCACTAAGTTTTATATTTTTTTACCCCTGCACTTTCATTAAAAAAGAGACATATTAAACTTTTAGAAAACCGGACCATCTCAGCATGTTGAAATAATTGAAATAAATTTCAATTTTTCTACGTTTTCTCCCATTCTTAAGTCAACACTGTTATGGACGTATGGCTATATGAAGGGAATATCTTGCAGAGTCATCTTTTAATTGTCCTTTTAGTTTCATGCTACACTCATGGCACCTTTTATCCTGCACACCTTGATTCAATCTGCAGTTTGTTCCTTATCTACAGAGGAGGTGCACTTATAGTCCTCCAAAAACCGGTTTATCCATGAACCAGAAAACCTAGTTTTTTTTTGTTGCTTTTTTTTAAACAAGCGCCACGATATACACTTGTGTTGGATTTAGTGAATAAGTGATTAGAAATGTATTTTTGGCAGTTTTACAGAACTATTATGTCTAGTCCCTCAATTCTGCATTTTTTTTTCAGAGTTGAAGCACAGGGAAAAAAAAAACATTCTCACTTAAATAAAATCCTGTACTGCCTTTCAGCTCCATATAACTCAAAGTGAATTCACAGTCACTAACAAGCAGAAAAATGCTTTACAGTAATTACCGTGACAGATGACCACCGACAGCAACACATAAAAGCACCTCATTAGAGCAGGCTCCATGTCTGCGAAGAGAAAAACTGCGGAACTATTCCACTT